CTTTGAGACCTCAACTTGGACATAGACCACTGCCCAGGTCCCAGAATGGCCACTCAGTGGCACAGACATGAGACAAATCAGAATAACACTACAGAGGGTTTGAGAGTGGAACTGACATTGAAATCATAACTTCCCAGAAGGCTAGTTAGAACTTGCCACCTGAACCTAACTGGGTGGATTGCCTAATAAGACAAAAGTATAAGGCTCAGAGTCTTATAATATCCAAGATGCCTAGGATAGAATCCAAAATTACTCAGCATATAAGGAACCAGAAAAATCTCAACTCACATGGGAAAAGAAAACTAACAGATGTCAGATGTTGGAACTATCTGACAAAAAATTTTATAGCAGTGGTTGCAAAATGCACCTCGAAGTCCTTTTTACAGGTTCTCATATAAGAACTAGATCTTGTAATTCACATATTCTCATTTAAGAACTGAAATAATCTGTTTCAGTCATTACTAATGTCTAGTAATTGGTACCTGAAATGGGTTACTAGCTGAGATGCTGATTGCTAGCTGTTAGACCTTGAGCAAGCCTCTTTCCCTCTCTGGGCCTCATCTGTCAAGTGGGCTACCTGATCACATACTCTCAAAGGTCCCACCTAGCACTGATGCTCCAAGGCTTTGCACTCGACGTCTACGGAGTCCCAAGAGGCAGAGTTATGAGGCTAGAGATGCTGAAGCCTGAGGGCCCCTCACTTGCCTGGTAACCATATGGATTTGTAAAATTTACCAACTTGAGATATTTAACCACAATTGATTAAGACTTGTGTCTCTTTGCACTCTGGCTTCTCTTTGTGTCAGGTCTCATTTTTGTGTTTTGTGTTCTTTTCCTTAACGAGGGTCCTCCAAATTATATAATCTTCAGAACCCAAAACCTGGATCTGCCCCTGTCCTATTCAGAGAGTTATAACAAAGATGGCATTAAACTAGAGATTTGTTTCTGAGTCGTGTCTAGAAAGCATCCGATATTTTATTGGGAATTAGTTGCCAAGTTCTTCTCTTAGGACTTCAAGAGAAGAAGCACCTACTTTTCTTTCAGTGCTCAGCTTAATACCACTTCTTCAGGGCTTCTCAGAATCCCTAACACTTGATGCTCGTTACTTATGAATAACTCTAAGCCTCACAAAAACAGGGACCATATCTTTCCTATTGACTGATGTGTCCCCAGCATCTATTACAATGCCTGGCACATAGTAAGTACTCCATAAATGTTGCTGAATGAATTAAGTTAAGAAGACCTATTATACTTTACTTAAATATACCCCATGAAGAAGTTGAGACAGCACTTACTCTGGGCCAGGCACAAAAACAAAAAATTCCAGGCTTATTTAGAAGACCATTAAGAGTGTCTTACCAGTTGATTCGAATGTCCAGATGAAGCACTTGCTGCTGTGGTCAACACTGATCCAGCAGTGGGAATGTAAGCTGAAATTTACTCGTGAAAGACAACCAGTGCTGAGATTATGGGAAACGCTTCTTTACTTGCAATGCACTATGCCTTATTTAAAAGGGACTGAATGAGCCAGAGTTCAGACTTTTGTGGCCAATAAGGACCCTATTCTTTTCTTAATTGGGGACAGGTAGATTCTCCATTGTACCACCTTGACAAATAAATTAAATGTCTCTATTTCAGAGTCAAAACTTTTCCATTTCTCTGAACTATTATTGTAGAGACCAGGTATGGACCTCTTAAGGGTAGCACCAGTTCTTCAAATGCTCACCTTGTTTTGCCTCATCCCACAGGCTGGAAGCTCTCTTTCTCTCCTGCTTACATCTTCCTGTTCCAACTACTTTTTAAAGTATTTGCTGTGATAGTAGCAGCAGCCGCAACAAAATCGGCAGCCGAGAGGCAGTCTCTGCACAGGAGGAGAGAGGAAAGAGCGCTTGGGAGGGAGAGAGACAGCAAATGATGACGGGGCTGGCAAAGGGATAGCAGAACAACAGGAAAGGGGGACTAAGAAGAGAAAGTGACATGGGAAGTACAAAAACTCATTACATAATCTCATAAAACTGAGATTTCCAAAAGGAAATGGAAATCGTGGCAGGTGCCACAACTCTGGAGCAAAGAAAATTCTGGGCTCCTGTTATAAACACCCACCAGAAAAAATAAACATTTGGGTAAGGAAGAGTGGGCACTTCCTCTCTCCTTGGGTGGATGTTTGTGATTGCTACTTTCAAGTCCACCGCAAGCCGTTGCCATTGGCCTGCCATCTTTGCCCTGAGCATCAGAGGGATGTAGGGATGTGGGTCCAGAGAGGGGCTGCCCATGTGGCATGCCATGACAGGTTTTCATTTCCATTTTCCTCAAGCTCTGTGGGTGCTCCACACCTCACATTCCCAGTTGTACTCTGGGTAATGAGGAAAATTACTGGCCTGACCTGGTCCTTTAATTTTTTTTCCCACTCATGGCTTGAGCTTTCATTAGTTTTCAGTTCTCATTAAGAGAAAAATCAAAGAGCGAGAATTAAACACCTCCTGATTTATTAGTTTACTGAAAATGGGAAGATGAGAGTCCTGGGACTGGCACTGGGTGAAGGGCCCAGACGATGAGATGAGTGAGCCACCGTAGGATCCCAATGGCTGTCCTCCTTCTCTTCTCTCTTGGGAGCAAGAGGGAGCCATCTCACACCCAGAAATCCTTTGAGTCTCTATGTTTATGACTCGGTGTTGTGAAATCTGGCACCGTCTCTGAGCCGAGATAATAGGCTCAAATCACATTGAGTTTTCTGGGTTTGGTTGCATTAAACCAGTGCTTGGTTATAGGTCTAACCCCACAGATGCTAATCCTCAGGTATAGAGGCTGTGTCCAACTCATCTGCTAATTCCCTACTATGTGCAAGGCACATGGCAAGTGCTCAACAAATGAATGGAGAGGGTGAATGAATGCATGCATGCTGAGATGAAATGACTGCCCTTAACTTGTATGCATGTGTGCATGTTTAATACTACCCCGCCTCACTACAAAAAGGAAACAAAGACAGTATGATGATTCCTAAAAAAAAATTAACCATAGCATTACCATATGGTCCAACAGTTTCAGTTACCTAAAAAGTAGGGACTGGGCTTCCCTGGTAGCACAGTGGTTGAGAGTCCACCTGCCGACGCAGGGGACATGGGTTCGTGCCCCGATCCGGAAGGATCCCACATGACACGGAGCGGCTGGGCCCGTGAGCTATGGCCACTGAGCCTGCGCATCTGGAGCCTGTGCTCCGCAACAGGAGAGGCCACAACAGTGAGAGGCCCGCGTATCACAAAAAAAAAACAAAAAAACAAAAAAAACATTATGCTAAATGAAAGAAGCCAGACACAAAAAGGCAAATATGGTATGATTCCACCTATATGAGGCACCCAGAATAGTTACATTTATACCAACAGAAAGTAGAATGGTGCTATCAGAGGCTGTGGGAGGGGTATTCTCTAATGGATACAGGGCTTCAATTTGGGATGACAGAAAAATTCTGGAGATGGATAGTGGTGATGTTTGCACAACAATATGAATGTATTGATACTTAACGCCACTGAATCACACACTCAAAATGGGTTAAAATGGTTACGTTTATGTGTTGTATATTTTACCACTATAAGAGAGGAAATAAAGCGATATTCATTTATCATAATAACATTCCTGAATCAGCCAAGAGAACATCAGTGCTGGCCATACAGCTTGCGTCTAGCTGCATGTGGAAAAGCAGGCAGTCCCTGCATGGTCACACAGTTTTGAGGGGACACGGGCCAGCATGCTCCTCTTGGGTGTGCACTGCCCTTTTTCCCATGTGGATCTGCAGGAACACCCACTGGCCTTCCCCACAAGCTTCCAAAGCTGGAAGTTACAGGAAAATCTTCATTGCCCCTTGAATTGTACCACCCATCTGAGGATTACTCACTAATTGCTGAAGACTATCTTCCAAGGGACAAAGAAACACTAAACCTATTTGGGTTCACCCTTTCTAGACACCCAGTCTAGATAAGCACTGTCACACAAGGAACCAGAGCTCAGCCTCACAGAAAGGACTGAGTTTGAATTGCAGCTCTCCGAATGATTAGTTGTGTGGCTATGGGCAAGTCACTTTAAGTGAGCTTCAGTTTCCTCATCTATAAAATGGGAATATTATTATGCCTAACTCGTACAGTGGTGCTAAGGTCTAAATGAACTAATAATATAAGTGCTTAACAGAGTGTCTATAATAAAATGAGTATTCAATAAATATAATTTTCATATAGGAGATGCATGACAGGTGGTAACAAGGGTGGGGGAAGGATGGTTATGCATGTCACTACAGGAGCTGAAATATTTCAAGTCTACAATCTAAACCTTGCACAGGCCAGCCAGTCAGGAGGAGCCTCAGGAGTGAGCAGGAATACTGGCAGGCAATTAAATGGGGATTTCTAGGGAGATGGGCAGTTCTCAAATAATCCTTTTTATGGTACCTCTCATCCCTCAACTCATTCCTTAATCTTTGGGTCGTTTCTGTCTTTGCTGATAGATTTATACCTTTTTCTCACATCTACTAGAAAGTGTACCCATTCATGCTTAGGAAATATCTTGAAACCTGTGAATCTAAAAATTTTAGGATTATGTTAATTATAATGCCAAGCAAACAGAAGACCCATTAAGGAGAGTTGCAGGATGAAGTCATTCCCATCAGCATGATGGTTTGGATGAACTTTGAGTGTACAATGATGCTTCTTCCATGATTTCAGTCAATCAATCAAACTCACACTGGGGGCTTCCCTGGTGGCGCAGTGGTTGAGAGTCCGCCTGCCAATGCAGGGGACACGAGTTCGTGCCCCAGTCCGGGAAGATCCCACATGCCATGGAGCGGCTGGTCCCGTGAGCCATGGCTGCTGAGTCTGCGCGTCCGGAGCCTGTGCTCCGCAACGGGAGAGGCCACAGCAGTGAGAGGCCCGCATAACGCAAAAAAAAAAAAAAAAAAGCTCTAATACTGATTGTGCTGAATTGAAGTTACTAACTTTAATTATTTTCTTAATTTTAAGGTGCATCTTCCCAAAGCCTGGAGAGATTTATAGAAAGGTAAGTGGAAGAGGGAGGGATACAAGAAGTTGTTTTTAAGTTAGGTTTCTATTTTGAAAAATGAATAAAAACTCTCTGTTGTTACCCAGTAACCACTTACACTGAGCATCCGTAACTTGTTAGTCACTTTCCATACACTGGGAAGTTGTCACTTCTTGGGCCAGTGACCATAGGAAGTGATTAATTTACATGTGTCCATAAAAATGCATACAAAGTGGGTAAAACTTAGGTCTGGCCAAAGTATTGCTCCTTAATCCTGCTTTATGAACAAGAAAACAATTTTGTGCTTGTATTGGACTTAAAATTCAGAAGCAAGGCCTTGGGCGTCCAGAATAGAAACCTTGATAAACCCTTGATTTTTCAAAGTTGACTACAGGTCCACAGCTGTAATAATGTCCTACACGTCTGGACACAAGTAACTCAGATAACTCACCTGTGTTTATTCATAACAACTTCTGTGAAACATGCTATAAAGATAGTAGTGTGTCCCCCTATGGGAGACTTCAATCTGCTCTTTTAGTTCTATGCATTTATGTGGTCTTTTCCTAATGGATAAGTGGGTTAAAATTTATAGAGAAGAAGAGGGAAATGGGAATGAAAGAAAAAGAGCAAAATGTTACCAAGAAGATGGTCATACAAAGATTCACACATAGGCTTCCAAGTGTTTGACATTCAGATTCCATCTATGGTTTCTCAGTTTGTCTAGGAACCAGCTGTTGGACCAACCAGCCATTGTCATATACGCCATGATTGGAAATGATGTCTGCAACGGGTGAGTTACTGAGAAAGGTTTGGAAAATTCTTTGACTCCGAGTTTCCCTGTCCTCTCAACTCGATCCACTCCATTACAGTAGCCTGCTGTGGAACTGAATTTCCCTATCTTAGCAAGTCCTAGACACATGTGAAATCAACAAAACCAAGCTGCAAAGCAGAAAGACTTTAAGAATATCTGACCCATTAATTCTTTGCTCTGATTCATAACAAAGGAGTGTGTCATGATCAACTCTGAGTTATACCGCAAGAAATACGTTAGTGCTAATCAAAAATCCAAGATTGAGAATCATGGCTTTTTAAATAAAATAAGGCAAAATCACAGCTATCTCATAAGAACAGCTTCCTCACTCATATTCTGATTCACTTACCCACGTGGTCGAGACAGCATAGACCTGGAACTTTGCAGAGAAACTGTGCATAATTCACAGCCAATCCTATTTATGCCCGTGGCCCGTCGTAAAAAAGTGGTTTTGCTAAACTGCTAATATCAGTAGTGATTTCAAAATGTTGAATGCCTTCAGTCCCCCACAACATTTTGGAAGGCTTCTCGAAGTCTGTGCATACCCCTGAGAATATGCCGCACATGTGAATGCCATCTGTCCCGTGATCATGGCCAAAAAGAAAAAAAAGAAAAAAAGGTGAGATCAGCTCTAAAACAACTCCCCAGTCACCACCCACCCATCATTTTAGCAAAACAGAAAAGCAAAGCCAAGAGAGGTGACACGACTTGCCCAATTAATCGACTGATGGCAGAGCAGGACTCCAACCCAAGAGGTGCTAGAAGCAGGCCACCCTGTTCACTGCCCACCTTTTGCTTTCTCGTACTTCACTCACCAAGTTTCTAAGCCTGTGCTAAAATCATGGTTCCATATTATGAACGTGTGTTTGCCCTCATGGATACCTCCATGAGAGCTCCAGAACTCTTATGGTGAAGGAGGTGTAGGCCTAAACGGTGAAGTGAGTTCAGGGCAGGAGATACCACACTGCAATCCAGAGATACTGATATGTCCTGCCTTGGCAGCCCCTAGACTGGTTTACCACTGTCCGTAGAGCCCCAAGTCTGCCAAGACTACATGCTGAGGACCCAAGGTAGCTCTGTAATGACCCACCTGGAACTCTGCAGTAAATAGCAAACACCCCCAAAACCTTCCATAAGCCAAGAGCTGCACCAGTCTCTATATCAGGTCATCCCCAGAGCAGCCCTAAGAAGCAAATGTGATTGTCCCATTTTACAAATGAGGAAATTGGGATTCAGCAAGGTTAGGTAAGGAACTTGCTTCTGCTGTTATTGAGCAGCAAAGCTGAGAGCCCATCCGGGTTCTCTGACTAAATTCTGTACTCTTTCTGCAGTCCACACTTGCCTTATTTGCTTTCTTTAAACGTACGTATTGACCACCTATGAAATGCCAAGCTGTGTGCCTAGCTCTGGGATATGATGGCAAAGAGGCCACCGTCCCTAATTTCAAGGAGCTTATGGATGGAGAAGCAATGAGCTTCAACCCCCAATCCCATCACAAAACAGAACAAACCTATGGTCAGATCAGCCAGTGCCCCTCCAACCTCTGGATCCTGTCCCGCTGGAGGGGACAGAGAACAAGCTGGTTATACTGCATAAAAAGCACCTGCAGAAAGAGTCTTTTAGTCCAAGAGCCCAAAATCCCTGAAACTGCACTTTTTCAGCAGAAGCTGTACACGCAGAGACCCCTCCAGCCCAGTCCTGCGCTTCCTTTACCAAGGAGCCAAAGGGCAGGCAGACATCAGCCAGAGACCCATGCCAGCCTCTCTCCCCGCCGGGGATCTGGGCAGAGAAGCAGCAAGCATTTGGGTGAAAGAATGGAGTTGGCAGTGTGGGATGTCCCCGCAGTGCCCACTTTGCAACGTCCTGTGGAGGGGTTAGAAAAATAAAGACAGATGGCAAGTATACCTCCCCATCTGCCAGAATGTCGAGGTGGAGGAGATTACCCCAAATGAGCAAAGTGATTTCATAAAAGCCCAAGCCAGCAACGAATTGCATAAGTCCATCCTGAAAAAACTTTTAGGATATTTGCTGGACTTTTCTCTTCTCTTTTTTTTTTTTACAACGATGCTAGCTTTTACTAAAATAATGCAGCTATGTGCTTCTTTCTCAATTCTCTAAACAAACGTAGATAATAAATACTTGTTAAATGAATGAAGGTCATGATTGCAAGATAGCTTTTAGCGTCAGGAATTCAAGAAGAAAGGTGAAATAGACAAACTTAGCTTTCTTGTTGTACCTCTACTCAATTTGGCCTAAGCTAACCCAACTTCTTTGGACGTTTCCTATCATTGCCTTCAAAAGCTATAGAGTGTGAGTGATACAGAAGGAGAAAAATTCCTGGAAATAGGGCAAGTATGAGTGAGCTACAGCAGCGGAGGCTTGGGTAGCAAGGGCAGCAATGATAAATGGGAATGGCCTCAAGTCATAAAGGGTGATGACAAACCTTCCCCAATATCCGATTACAACATCCCTGAAAAAAACATTGTAATTACTGGAAATGTATAAAAAAAATAGAAGCATCTAACACTAGCCACAGAAATGGACATGGTTCCATTTTTTATAGTGGACCTAGACATTATAAATTGAACATTTTTCACCTAATGGAGAGAGCCAGAGCCGCCCTACAGAGGTTGTCTGTGTCGCCGGCTCCCAAGTGTTTTTCTGCAATGCCGATGTTTCAGTTGTCACCTGGGGCAGCTAGTCAGCACTGCATTAAGAGGAAGCAGTCAAGATGCTGGTAGATCACAGACTCCAAGGAGCCTGAACTGCCAGGAAACAATCCATTCTATCCAGTCAAGGGTAGAAAACCAGCAGAGAAGGGAATGGATAGAACTCTGCTGCTCAGAGGAGCCTTCTCTCCCAGCCTCCTCAGTGAAGGTGTGGGTAGCCAAGGGAATAATGAGCTTCTCTACCAGCCAGCATGTTCCAGGCCATATCCTCTTTTAGGGGACCCAGGATCTCTATGCATCGGGTAATGTGGGCCCATTGAGACCCCACCCCATTCCCAGTCTATGTCAAGATGCCTCCTCATGGAGGTTGGGTGGGAGGTCAATAATGTGATTACAACTGGGGGGCCTGAAGCCAAGGGCTACCTCTATTACCTGGATGCTTCAAAAATACGAAAGCGAGCTGTGAGTGAAATCTGAGCACTCAGCCACAGCAGGTCTCTGGGCTTTCACTCTGGTTCTGGGCAACGTTTTCTGCAGAGGCTGTTTGCCTTCTTCCTTGAGAGGGGGGCACCCCTGCCATCAGCCATCAGTGAAATCTGGCTGGAACACCCGCCAGGGTAATGAAATCATCGCGTCTGGCCCTGCACCCAAGTCATGAGGCTTACCTTGCGTGATCAGGCACAATTCATTAGGACAGGGGCAGACTCTGAGCCACCCGAAACACGAGGCTCTTTATCTGTTCCAAGCCCACCACGTGTTCCTGACGTGTGAGAGCGTGGTGCTGGGCACCATCTTCTCTCCCATTATTTTCCTGGAATGAGCGTACGTCTCTCAACCTGGCTTTCATAGTTCTCCCCTGTAAGCCCTGCACCCTCAACCCCTCACCTCTCCAGGACTGACCAGCGTGAGCTCACCGCTGTGTGAGGAAGGGAGCAGGGCACTGCCGTGGCAGGCAAACGTGGGATGGCAAAGTGAACCTGACGTGGGCTCCAGAGCACCTGCGTGAAGAGGTTTAGACACTTTGAGCTCAGCCCATTCAGCCTTTGACAGCAGGGCAGGCCTAGGAGGTGTTTCCCAAACCACTGGGACTCTTTGGTCCCAAAATACTAGTGCTAAGTCCCCTCAAAAATCACCGGAGGAGAAAGAGTACACAGGTCAAAGGGTGCTGAGAATTTTTCAGGGACAGGGTCAGAGGGACCATCTATGGCATCCAGAGGAGGTGACCCAGCACCTGTCACTCAGACCCTTTTGCCCTTGCCTGAACTAAGAATTGGTTAGTTTTGCTATACACACTACAGGGTTTACCTGGCGATGCGTGTATGTAAATTATCTAAATTATCTAGCTGTACGTGACGGAGCAAAGATGACTGGAGAAGGTTCCAGCAGAAACACCAAGGCTTCCTTTTTTTTTTTTGACTTTTTATTTTTTATTGGAGTATAGCCGATTAACAATGTTGTGATAGTTTCAGGGGCACAGCAAAGCGACTCAGCCACACATATACATGTATCCTTTCTCCCCCAGACTCCCCTCCCATCCAGGCTGCTGTATAACATTGAGCAGAGTTCCCTGTGCTATAGGTGGGTCCAGCAGGACCTGTACAGTAGGTCCTTGTTGGTTATCCTTTTTAAATATAGCAGTGCGTACATGTCAACCCCATATTCCCTAACTATCCCTTCCCTCCACCTGGGAACCATAAGTTCTTTCTTTAAGCCTGTGTGTCAGTTTCTGTTTTGTAAATATGCTCATTTGTATCATTTCTTTTTAGATTCCACATATAAGCGATATCATACGATATTTCTCTTTCTCTGTCTGACTTACTTTACTCAGTATGACAATCTCTGGGTCCATCCATGTTGCTACAAATGGTATTATTTCATTCTTTTTGATGGCTGAGTAATATTCCATTGTATATATGTACCACATCTTCTTTATCCATTCCTCTGTCGATGGACATTTATGTTGCTTCCATGTCTTGGCTATTGTAAATGGTGCTGCAATGAACATCAGGGTGCATGTATCCTATCAGACCATGCTTTTCTCTGGATATATACCAAGGCTTACATTCTGATTTCGCTTAGCAATTAGCCATTTTGGTGATGCTTGCTTAATTTGTGAGGTGCCCTTTCACAAATGCAAATTAGCTGAGATTCTTTGTTTATCATCAGGGTTGTGTCTCTAACTAAAAAATAATCATTAAATAGGGAGTATGGGAGAGTTTACTCCATCTTAACTCATCTTGCCTTTAGGTGGTTGGAGAGTCTTAGCTCAGCATCATTGCTTTGTGCCAAAGTGTTGTTGTATCAGCAGAAGAAAAAAAAAAAAAAACCCTGAGATGCCAAGGCAAAAGTTAATAGCCGTGCATTCTAGCTTTACCAATGACAGAAGACAGGATATAGACACCCAACTTGCTTTGTTTCACCCCTGCTGTCACACTCCAAACACACAGTGAAGACAAAACCTACTTACTCTGAACCTCGTTCTCCTGGTCTGAACAAACGCACAAGGCAGCCTGAATCCCCTTCACAAACTGGGGTCCTTCTAGGGCTTCTGTGCATCTGCAAGTCAAGCCAAAGCCTTAACCAACCTTTGGCCCCTAGTAGGTAGGCAACCTATTCTCAAATCCTTCTGAGTGCTTTTTATGCAGGCTGGAGAGCTTCTTATTCATAACGTCGTATAATTTTCCCCAAAGTAATGAAAAACATGAATATAGCATTTTATTCTACATGCTGGGGTTTTGTACAAGGGGACAGTTCTTTCTCTTTCCTCCGATCTCTCTTTCTCTCTCTCAGAAAGTCCAAGGAACTCATGACCCAGTGCAGAAGCACATACACCTACCACACCGAACGCCCCGAACGTCAGATTTGCTCCACCTTTTCCTCTGTGCAGCGACATATTGCCCCTCACAACCTGGCCCGTGTGACCTTCACACCCATGGTCAGCCTGTCACCCTCTGGACAGCAACAACGTGAAAAGTCATTTTATTTCACTAAGTGACATAGGTGGAGGGGAAATGACATAAAATTACAATGTTTTCTGCCCCTCCCATTAATATTTAGCTTTCTTCCTCATTTTAGAAAGAATAAAAATGATATGAGAACCCCTTTCATTTTGACTGTTTCTCTGATTACAAAATAACATGTGTTGTGAGAAGTTCAAATAATACAGGTCTAGGAAGTGAAAGTTTCTCCAGAATCACTCCCTACCGCCCCACCACCACTGCTTAGAGCTAACCAATAGAGATGTTTCCTGTATTTGCAGCCAGATTTTTTCTATGTAAGTTCTAATTTACAGACTGATTAATATTCATTGAAATAAAATAATATTATGCTCACTGCTCTGTAATTTGTTCTCTTCGCTCAACAATACTTTTTAGCAGTCTTTTCCATGCTAAGACATACAGATTATTCTTTAAAAAAAATTTTGTTTTATTGAGGTGAAATTCACATAATGTAAAATTAAGCATTTTAAAGTGAACGATTCAGTAGCATTGAGTACATTCAAAATGTTGTGCAACCATCACCTATATCTAGTAACTTCATTCTTTTTAATGGCTGTATAGAGGTTTACTGCATGGATCTACTATAATTTATATAGCCAGGCTTTTTAGCTTTTCCCACTTTTATTCTATTCCAAGAAATGTTGTCATACTTGTATGTACATTTTTGCACATTTGTGGAAATGTTATGATAGGACAACTTCCCAAAAGAGAAATGTCAAGGTCAAAAGTTAAACCAACGTCAAGTTTTGATACATTCTGAAAAATTCCTTCCAAAATGACAACACCAATTTCCATATAAGAACAGCTCCCTTAAAAGTGACAATAGTGGATACCCCTAGGGGCTTCTTTCTGTCTCCTCTTCCCATGTCTCTTGTTTCTCGGGTCCAGCTTGTGAGTAATGAACTTGCTTTTTCTGGTTTGGAAGCTGTATCAAACTCCCTAGGGCTGCAGTGACAAAATATCACAAACTGGGTGAGTTCAAAAAACAAAAATATACTCTTTCACAGTGTTGGAGGCTAGAAGTCCAAAATCAAGGTGTCAGCAGGGCCATGCTCCCTCTGAAGTGTCTCGGGGAAATCCTTCCTGTCTTTTCATCCTTCTAGTGGCTCCCTGCAATCCTCAGCATTCCTTGCTTGTGGCACCATAACTTCAATTTCCACTTCCAGCTTCACATGGCCTTCTTCCCTATGTGTGTGGGTCTCTGCTCTTCTTAAAAGGACACTAGTCATTGTATTTAAGGCCCAACCTACTCCAGTATGACCTCATCTTAACTGATTACATCTGCAGAGACCCTGTTTCCAAATAAGATCACATTCTGAGGGAGGCTATTCAATCCACTCCAGGATCATTAGGTAAATCTGGAATTTTAAGGACTTAAAATAGAAAATAACTTATAGCATGATTCCATTTAGGTTAACAACAGGCAGTTTAAAGCCTAAAGAGAATTCTATTTTCAACTCCCAGGTTAATGCAGGTTAGTATCTTAATTCAAATTTGATATGTTCCTGAAGGCTTGTACAAAAGTCAACGGTGCAAAAAATGAACAATAATAGACTTACATATTAAAGCCAAAAAATATCCTAGAATCCCTATTTATACCTTGCCTTTTTTTCCCTGTATTTACGTTTATTGATTCAATCCTTTAATCATTTATTCAACACATAGTTACTACGTGCAATGTTCTGCTCCAAGCACTAGAAATACAGCAATGAGCAAAACAAAATCCCTGCCTACATGGAGTGTAGTTTACCTACTACAACTACTAGTATAGTTCACAGTACTGAGCATTTGGCCAGGTAGCAGTTTCAAAAATAAAGAAAATGGGTAACATGAGGTGTGGTCATTTACAAACACTGGCATTAACAGTTCATCCTGTCCTGGGAGAAGCAAAAGAAATGAGACATAGGGAAGAGCAGACAGTAGAGGGTCTCAGTGCTAAGCCGCAGAGTTTGAATTTCATTCTGTAGTAGATAAGAGTCATCAAAGTGTGTTTTAATGGCAGGGAAGGAGGAAAGGTTGTATTAAACAGTTCAATAGAAAGTATGTTAGTATTATGTTAAGCTTGTCAGTCACTTAGGTTCTGGGCTTCAGTGTGATAGTCTTTATCATTGCACTCTGAAATGCTATTATGTAAATTAATTAACCACTCCTTAGTTTTCTTTATTCCCTTAAATCTTTTTTTGTTTGTTTGGTTTGGTTTGGTTTGGTTTTTTTTTTTGCGGTACACGGGCCTCTCACTGTTGTGGCCCCTCCCGTTGCTGAGCACAGGCTCCGGACGCGCAGGCTCAGTGGCCATGGCTCACGGGCCCAGCCGCTCCGCGGCATGTGGGATCTTCCCGGACCGGGGACGCACCCGTGTCCCCTGCATCGACAGGCGGACTCTCAACCACTGCGCCACCAGGGAAGCCATGTTTTTTTGTTTCTTGAATTTTATTTTATTTATTTATTTTTTATACAGCAGGTTCTTATTAGTTATCTATTTTATACATATTAGTGTATATATGTCAACCCCAATCTCCCAATTCATCCCACCACCACCGTCATCACCTCCGCTTTCCCCCCTTGGTGTCCATACATTTGTTCTCTACATCTGTGTCTCTATTTCTGCCTTGCAAACTGGTTCATCTATCCCATTTTTCTAGATTCCACATATATGTGTTAATATACGATATTTGTTTTTCTCTTTCTGGCTTACTTCACTCTGTATGACAGTCTCTAGGTGTATACCTTGCCTTTTAAAGATAACAAGAAAGAAAGGAGGAAGGAAGGAAGAGGGAAGGAAGAAAGGAAGGAAGGGGAAAGGAAAGGAGGAAGGAAGAAAGGAAGGAAGGATGGAAGGAAGGAAGGAAGGAAGGAAAGAAGGAAGGGAGGGAGATTTAAATGGAACTTTCAATGATGTGTTTCTAGTATTTTGTACAATCCTCACTTTTGTTCTTTTCCAAACCAAATGAAAATAAGACAAGCCGCTTAAATTCAGTAAATGTCTAATTGAAGCTAAAGATTTGCTACTTTCGCTTATGATTTACATCTTTGTCTTAAATTCTTTGATTTTAGGACCGTGCTCTTATAACTACTTTCAGCACTTCCTTTTTCTGTTTTCACTAATTTTGTGGAACAAGAAGATAAAAATATAATTTAAAATTTCATATATCCTCTATAGAGCACACGCACTTCTATATAGAGAAAGGCAGTGATGCAAATTGGAATTATCTGTTGACAGATATTGTTGCAGGGGTATAGCCTGGAATAGCAGTCTATCAGGAAATTCATGAAAGTTCAAATTCATTGTAGGATGGAAAGATGTAATGTGGACACATAATGTCACTTCATTTCTCAGTGAAATTTCATCTCCCTTACTGTTATATATGTGAAAAGTTTTAAAGACCAAGTTGCAGAGCTCAAAGTGTCAAACAAATAATAAGCAATACCAGACCCCTTTGATTCTATTAACTGTGTGTCACAGTCAGGATAGGTGAAATTATGCTGCAGGAACAAACAGCCCCTAAAATCTTAGTAGCATAAAGCAATAAATATTTATTCACTCGCACTACATTGTCCATCAGGGATCACCATGGAGCTGTGTTCCAGGACTCAGATTGGTGAAGAAGCTGCTTTCTAGAACATTGCTCAGACTCATGGCAAAGAGAAGCAGCATCCTGGAGGCTCTCATACAACCAAACATGACACATGTCACTTCTGCTCACAACTCATAGGCCAGACCTGGCCCACCCAACCACAAGGGAGTCCAGAAACCAGAAATATTTTTCAAATAACACCAATAACTACTCTGTGTGTGTGTGTGTGTGTGTGTGTGTGTGTGTTTGGGGGGTGGGTCTTATATTTGCATGCATTTATCCTATAATATACTAAGATATTTTCTGTTTCTTTTGTGAACAGGAAGATTGATCCCGTCCCAGGAATGACCACTCCTGAAAAATTGTACTCAAAGGTCATGGAGACTCTGCAGTATCTAGATTCTCACCTGCCAAATGGCAGCCATGTTATTTTATACGGCTTACCAGATGGAACCTTTCTCTGGGATAATTTGCACAGCAGATATCATCCTCTCGGTATCAGTTTGAAGATGTTTTTACTCTTTAACAATGTCAATGTATTCGTAGTTCAAATATATGCAGTTCAAACCATATAGGAATACACCTAAAATGCCACCAGAACGAAGAAGGGAAGAGCACCCAGGTACAGGATCTAAAAAGTCAGTATCCAAAGGTGGCCAGAACCAGATCCAAAGTCAGAAAGGGCAGATGTATTTGGCAAAGAATTAGGACAAACTGAAAGGTAAGAGTTTAAAACTCCTTCACTGAAGGTGAAATCTAGAAGGAGCCAGTGAAGCCCAAACAAGAGATAGGAAGGAGACAAAGGGAAGGATTTCTCCAAACCTCAGTGGTGAGTGCCCCCTAGTGTCCAGGATTCTAATGCCGTCTGTGCACCCTGGTGGCCAGTTAGAGTTCTGTAGAACAGGGTCCTCCAGAGGGCTTGCTCCCTGCTTCTACACTCTCTTGGAGTCCTTGGCTCTGAAATGCTTTAAAGTTCCAAGAAATTTCTAATAGAATCTCTAGCATGCCAGATGCTTCACAAACATTGTGAAAGTAGTAGTAATTCACCTTGGGAAGGGCTGCCATGCTGATCCTTAAAACAATTCTGTGAGATAAATGTTTCTATTAATTCCATTTGATAGATGAAAAACCTAAGGCTCAGAGAAGTTGTGTAGCTTGCCAAATGTTGCACAGCTTATTGTATATGCAAGCTGGGTGTAGCAGGGCTCTCTTTCTGTGTTTCAGGGAAGAATGTCCTTCCAAAAATACTTATTATATGCCAGGCCCTGTTCTAGGCACTGTGTAACCATCAGTGAACATAATAGTCAAAAATCTCTGCCAACATAGGCTTATGTTACAGTGGGAGAAAGACTCCAAAGGATGATAAGTGTTACTACAGAAAATTAAGCAGGGAGGGAGGATGGGCAGTGCTGGCCTCAGGCCTCTCTGACAGGCATCTACAAGCAGGGGCCTGGGGACCATCCCCTCAGCCCCATATCGACAGCACCTGTGTCAGTCTCTCATGGAAAGGGGCTGCCCTTTCCCTGGTATTGCCATAGCCACCTCCTTAGACCAACCCAAGCGACAGTGCCCAGGTGCTACAGTGTCCTGGAGGTCCAAGCAGTTCCTTATGAGTCAGGTGAGCAGTTCAGAGGGGGAAGACCTGAAACTCCTTCCTTTGCGCCCTCCTTAGTGGGTAGAGGTGGAGAGCTTTCCCTTGCATACATAACATCCTTGTGTCTTTTCAATCCCCTCTTGTCCTCCTCCTGTAGTTCCTGTTTAAGCCAACCTCCCTACCAGCTCCCGCAGGAAGTTCTACACCGCCCCACATAAGAGCAGGGACCCTTTAACCAGCTCTCAAAGGGCTCTGACCCCTTCACTGCGGTCCCTTCACTGGGCAACAATGGAATATGTCCACATTCCAGGCTTCCCACCAATGCGACTGAAGTCATTTTCCTCTTCAATTATGAAATGTGCCACAAATGTTATTATTCCAAGGAAACACTGTCCAGCCTCTCATGAGGAAAGCATGTTCCTCCTATTCACACGGCTTTGACCACGCCCTTTAGAAATGATAACATGATCACACAGTGAACTTGACTCCATTCTGGGCTGCTTTGGACATGTGAAGGACAACCACTTGGGCTGATCATGTCTCTTTGAGCCATTTGGGGATGAAAAGTTCAGTTCCCCCAACAGATGTTCTCAGACTCCTAGATTTCTCCCATGCTAAGAAATGCTTGGGGAAGGGGAGTTGGGAGTAGGGGAGATGTGCTCCCAATTTACTCTGTCACACCAATAGGGACTTGACTTTGGGTTTTCTGACTTTAAATCCCATTCCCTTCCCATGAACTGCGGTTAGACTGCCTCCATAAATTTTCTCAGATATGCCAGGCCATTCCCTTGACTCAACCATAGTATGTAAAAATGACTCCATGTAATTTGGAAGAGAGCAAGGGAAGGAAAAGGGTGATTGATCAGGGGACTCATCAATCACTTGGTGGATTCTCTTGGCCAGTGGTTCTCATCCAGGGGCAACCCACCCACCCATTATCATATCACCCCTGGAGATGGAGTGCTACTAGCATCCAAGGGGTAGAATCCAGGAATGTTCCTAAACATCCTACAATGCACAGGACAGCCCCCTACAACTGAGAATGTCGATAGCACCAAGGTTGAGAAACCCTGCTCTAGGCTTTGCATTATCCTCAGATGGCCTCCCTCCAGCCACTGATCTAGACTAGCACTTCACAGCACAAGAGCAAAAGGTGGAACAAGTGTGTTCTATATAAACAACTCTAGTTTGGAGGTAGGGGGAACCCAGCTAGGGAGAGAGTTATAACCACCTAAAATTTGTTGAATGTTTTTCAGTTATTATTCACATCCTAAATTATCCCTGCTGCCTGGTTGCCATGAGAAATAAATCATAAATTCCTCAACGAAGCATCAGGGTCCTTCCTAAACAGACTGGGGAAGTAGGTGGGATTTACCCAGCGTCCTCATTCGTCCTCTGGCAGGCTCCTAACTCACATAAGGTGAGAAGCTTGAACAGGGGGCTGCTGCCCTCTCATTGCCTCCGTTCTGCCCTGCTCCACATCCAATCTTTGAATCTTCGTTCCCACAGACAGGAACCGGCAGTGAAGCAGGTTAATGCTAGCTCAGCCTCAAGGCTTGGTTGCTTTGCCCAGGTTAAGGTGGATCTCATTTTAATCAATAGCCACACACCTGAGTCTGGTTCCTGGGGCACCGTGCTAAGGGTGGGGCAAGCAAATAAAAGGGGGTTTCCACTTATTCTGCCTCTGAGCCAAGAAACATGATGATGATAACCCGTAGACTTGACTTTGGCCACCCCTTAAGGATTAAGAAAGAGGCCAGGGAGCAAAAGGGTCAGGGGAGAAGCCCTGAGTCAGTGATGATGTTCCCTGCTGCCTCAGTAAACAGGTGGGAATTCAGCCTGACTATTCAGGAAAGAGAAGGTCAAATGCCACAGCATCAGACCTGCAGGCAGTGGAGGCCCACAACAAGAATGGGTGTCTTGCTGACTCCTGCTGGGGAGGAAGGGGCTAACATCATTCCTCTTAGCCTTGTCTGTGAGTCACGACCCAGTCACTGCTTGACCGCCAAGGGCTGTGACAGCCCCACAGGCTCTACCAGCAGTTAAAATTCCTGGTGAGAATGTTTTGTCTTTTTGAGGAATTACCAGAAAGTAAGTCTCACACATTAGGATTATACATTCATAGATCTTTCAAGTAAGTTTATGTTTGATCAGGGATGAGTCCTCTCAGGCACAGTCTATAAGGAAGGCAATCTTTCCATTAATATGTCTGAGATAACTATTATGTGCTTTGAGGGTAAAAATGATGCTAAGATGAAGTCCTTGTCCTCTAAGGAAAGGAAAAATAGTATATAGATCCTGACAGTGAAACTACCGAGGGCCAACGACACTTCTCTAAGCCATATGCATTCAGGGAGCTATCCAAAGGGTTAGACTATGATCAAGAAATCTGGGAGTGCTGGCTACAAATAAGACTGCGAGTCAGCCTTCTTTGAAGGGCCTCTGCCACAAAATAGGTGCAAAAACTCCGTTTTGTCCCAATTACTCTTAAACTTGAAACCTAATGTATTTTAAAATACCTTGTAGTATACCTTCAATTTTATTACTGGCTTCCTCCCTGTCTAAATTAATGTGGTTTTACCAAGGTTTAATACACTCAGATGGTATTTCATGAAGGTGTGGCTGATCTTTGTTAGCACTAAGCTCTTACAGTAGCTAAAATTTCAACTGTGGTCCCAGTGTTAAATAAATGCCAAAGGCTCTGCCCTAAAGAACATACACATGACTGAGACTCGAGCTGCTACTATGGGAGCTGGGGTAGATCCCTTTGATCTTCAGAGGGAGCATATGGTATCAACTGGGCCAACCCACAGGCTCCCACCCCTTACACACACACACACTGCTGGTTCCTGGCCACTGTGGGACAGCCCTCTGCCCCTGTCCTGGGCATTCATGACCACCTTTCTTCACCAGACTCACTTTCTAACCAGGGAGTCACAGACACCACCTCTTTGCACATACGTACAACATGTAGGTAGGATGAGTCTTTATACCAGGGCTTCTCGATATGGAAGAATACCGTTAAAGTAACAAGGATAAAAAGTCATACATAAAGAGAAAGAGCGAATAACTAACTGACAGTTCCAATCAGCGGAGAAAAGCATAAGAACCGTTTTCCCTCCTCGTCATAAACCCATCACAGGCACTCCCAGCCAACCTTCCACATGACCAGCCCCAGGGACACCCTGACCTTTAATAGGCAGAAATACCAGAGAGAAGGGAAACCAACCCATTATGCCTTTCCCAGTTTTCTTCTAACTACAGCTAATGCGTGCTTATCCTGTCCACAGACCCACCTACTCACCTAAGAATTTCCCCTCCATCAACCTGGTCCAATTAGAGCCAGTGCCAGAAGAGCAAGGACATGAAGGGGAGGGGCCAGGGATTGGTCCAGAAGGAGGATGTGCCTTGTGGTCTCATCCTAGCGTGTTCTGGGACCTCAGCAGTAAGACAGTAGGAAGAGGGGAGTAAGCTGGGACGCAACGAGGCTATGGCTCAGCTTAGCCCCCAAAGAGGAGCCAGCAGATGAGCTTCCAGTATCCAGGGGCAGGATAAACTCCAGTCCCCCTGGATATCAGAGCAGTCCAGTCTTGCAGGTGGGGAGGGAGAGGGTGCAGGAGTGTTATTTACGGTCAGGCATGAGGTGCCACCTCCAGCAGGTTGAAGACACTTCATCCACTGGGCAGGGAAAAGAGAGAGGCCACCAGGTGAGAGTCAGGGCAAAGCAGGGTGTCAGGGCCCCAGCCAAGCTCCCTAAGGCTTATTACAAGGCCCTCCCGTCCCAACAAAGAAACAAGATGGCAGAGGGAAGGCTGCCGCTCAGCAGGGGGCGAGGGCCAAGTCCTCTGGGCAAGTGGAGGATTGAGGGTGGGGAACGCAGGTTGAAGGTGTCAGTCACTGCAGCTGGGCTGGACTGAGACCGGCAGGGACACATACAGAAAGGAGGTAAATTACAAAAGCACACACCAAAAAAAAAAAAAAATAGAGGGAAAGCAGCCTCTGTGATGGAAAGCAGGATCTTGGAGAAAGATGGATCATGGAGCTCAGAGCTCCATGTGGAGCCCATAAAATGAAAGTGAAGACAGAAGCCAGTGGCTTGGGATTCATCTAAAATGTGAAAATGCAGACACCTTTGGAGCACAGAGAAGACCCAGCATGTCACTGTGACTTTAATGGCGATAATGAGCCTGCAGTTTTCCAGTCCTGGGATTCACTCACCCACACAGAGAGATAATATATTTTTCCTCTATGACAAGAAAATTGAATCTATCTTTCAGTCTAACTGATCTGAGGTATAAGTGAAAAATAAGACTGTGTTCTATCACCTTCAATCTTTCTCTTCGCTCCGAGATAGGCCCTATTATTTTCCTTTATTTTTTCAAGTGTGAGGGAAGTGTTAATGGATAGGACATCGGTCATTCACCCCTGAGATTTGGGAGAACCTGGATTTTGTGTCTCAGCCACAGCATGAAACTTGAATTGCCTGGGTTTGGGGGTGGGGCGCACAGTGCGGTAGAAGGGGCAGTGGTGGGAGGTGAGAAGAGAGAATAAATAACGCCCCCAGATTCTGGGTCCACAGCTGATATTTGGAAAGGCTCTGCATGAACTCACATTTGGCGTTTACCCCTTCATGCGTGTGTACCAAAGATATAGAGCCTATCTACTAATGACGGCTCAAATAAGATAACCGCTGGGCCGTGAAGGGATAGAACGAACGTGCCAGCCTCCCCAGTCCGATAGCCACACAAGCACTTGTGGAAAACTTCAGTTCACCAAACTGCAGGACAGTGCGTGGTCAGACCTTCAGACCCTCCAGAGTCCCGCCAGGTCCTCAGCATGGGATGATCGGGCCAGACCTGAGTGTTTCATAAACACAAAAGGAGGAGGATTTGGTCAACTCCCACCTTCCATGCTCCCTGGACCCCACAGGGACTTGGCGTTTCATACCATTGCCAGGAGAAAGCCACTGCTCTGCCAGTCCTTTGTTAGTGGTGTCCTGGTCCATACGGTGCGCTGAATCCCTCTACCCGGGGTCCAGATAAGGTCAGGCCCCTCACACCCTGCCCGAGCCCGTGCGAAGAGCTCGAGAGAGCAGTAAACTCCTTGGGGCCGCTCCCCAACCCCAGGTCTGAATTTCTAGGGGGCTCAGAAAGAAGGAAAGCACAGGCATCTTCAAGAGCAATGCTAAATGCATAGCCAGGGCAGGTCCCTGGAGGCGCCAGCCTTCTGCAAGAGAGGCAGGCTCACCCACCAGGGTCCCTAGGCGGCTGCTATATCTGAGTGAATGCAACATGCCAGACCTCTCTGTTTTCCAGGCCAGCTGAACAAGGACGTGACCTACGCGCATCTCTACTCCTTCCTGAGCTGTCTCCAGGTGAGCTCACAGTGACTTGTTCCAAAGCTATGTTCCCACAACCAGCACTGTTCTTCTGTAATCAGTGTTTTCCTGCTCTCAGGTCAGCCCCTGCCACGGCTGGATGTCTTCCAATAAAACGCTCCGGACTCTCACTTCAGAGGTAGGGCTGTCGCAGGCCCTTTGATACTGTCTTTGATCATTCTCTCCCTGTGTTTGCTGCAGGGTTTTCACTGGGGATGGGATTTTGGCAGGGTGATGGCCTCCAAACTGGTGAATAAAAGAAACAAACTCCTGGATGCTTGAGGAGTCAGGAGAATGCGGGGTGCCCTGTCTCCCTCCTTCTGCCTCGCTGAGTCTGTAGTTCTTGCTGGGTTTCTCGATCACTGTCTCTATGTGTGCCTGTCTCTCTTGTATACACACATGTGTGTACACGCACAAACACACACATGCCTTTGAAAGCTGGTCCTAGGCATATTTGTAGAGTCAGAGAAGTGATGAAAGTTAGGTGTACGCAGGGCTGGAATTCTCCCAAGGTAGGGGAGGACCAGCTGCCCCAGAGCCTTCCTTTCTTTGAGAAAGTTTTCCACATTTCTTTCACAGATGGTAAATAATTTCTTTGTAAGGAATTTAGTAAACATTTTTTACAAGGGAAATATATTTCAATTTTTAAAAAACCTTAGAAAATGTAAAAAATACAAAAAAAATAACAAAAATCACTCAAAATCCCACCACCCAAAATTAATATGTATGTATGTCTTTCCAATATTATTTTCATAGATAGTTATTTTGGGGGTTTTGCCTACATAGTATCAGAACACACATATTGTTCTGTGCCTTCTGATGTTCATAATCATTCCTCCACATCATAATTTTTTTTTTTTTTTTTTTGCGGTACGCGGGCCTCTCGCTGCTGTGGCCTCTCCCGTTGCGGAGCACAGGCTCCGGACGCGCAGGCTCAGCGGCCTTGGCTCACGGGCCCAGCCGCTCCGCGGCATGTGGGATCTTCCCTGACCGGGGCACAAACCCGTGTCCCCTGCATCGGCAGGTGGACTCTCAACCACTGTGCCACCAGGGAAGCCCTCCACATCATAATTTTGTAATCATTTTAGAAAATAGAGCATATGAATGTACCATGATTTATTTCATCCCTTGGTGTTGGACATATGGATTGTTTCTAATTTTCCACTATGATAAATAGCGTTGTGATGAACCTTTGTATATATGAAGATGTATGTCTTTGGGTACCATGTCTATTTCCTTAAGACAAATTCCTAGGAAATTATTGGGTCAAAGAGTACGTCATGTTTAACGATTTGATCCCTATCACCAAATTGCTCTCTAGAAAGGTTAAACAAATTGACATTCTCAATCACATATCCCATGGCGATACTCTTTATTATCATGATTGTTCATCTTTTCTTTGCCAAACCCATGGGGAGAAAGTGGTATCTTAATACTTTAATTTGCACTGATTTTGTTCCTAATGAATTTTAACAGTTTTGTATGCTCATTTTCCATTTGTGCATGAATGGAATTTAATATGCAGAGCTGCTCTCTGCTGGTGACTTGCAGTCGGGGTGGGGTGGGGACTATTGATTTCTTTGTTCTGCGTGAATTGTCTCCCTAAAGCCCAAGTCTAGGTTTCATGAAATTCTCCCTGTTTCCTTTGTATTCAGAGAGCAGAACAACTCTCCATTACGCTGAAAAAAATTGCAACCAGCCAGAAATTTACAAACTTCAATCTTTTCTACATGGATTTTGACTTCCAAGAAAGTAAGTTTTGCTTGGTTTAGGTATTGACACAAAACAGAAGCAGCAGCTACCATTTAGAGCCTACCTGGGCAAGGCGTTTGTTTACAAGCCAACAGGTAGTATATTGGGCAGGGTCGCTTCTCCCCACTCTGACGCATTAATAGCTCTGAGTATTGAAAAAAGATAAAGCGTGAGACTCTTTCTGGAAGAGTCACCTCATTACTTCACCATTATTTTAGAATCCCTGAAGCCATAGAGCCAGTGACCAGCTGGAAACAGCTTTGGGCTGGGAGCCAACAGGTCAGTGGAATCATCTAACTTATTCTTGACATTTAGCAATGCCCCGCTGACAGCTGGGCTAAAGAAGAGTGTGACAGGAATGAGGGGTAAGGCAGTGCCTCTCCTTGGGGCCACTGGATTACCTAAGGACTCAAAACAAGGCAGATTCCCAGACCTCACACATGATGAAACTAATGAGTCTCAAAGGGAGGACTTCAGATGTCTATGGCAAAGTGGACAAACCATATCCCAGCTTTCTGGAAAGAACATTACTGCTGCTTTTCTAGCATTCTATCCAAACATTGGGGTCACTGATGAGTGGCCACAAGAAAACAGGCATGATTACTAGATTTATCCTTTACATCTTGACTCTGAAAAATTATTATCTATTGACTTTAATCCTTCCAGTCCCCTTTTCATTGCTAAGCAACTGTTATGCAAGAGAAAAGTCTCTGTTGATCGTCTGCCAGCTGAGATGATGCTAATGAAAAGCTTTGCAGTGTATGCAAAGAGTGGACGATTTCTCATACGGAGTTTATCATCTCTATCTCCCCACCACCAACTCCCCCAGCCCAAGCATCTGGGATGAGACAGATGGCCGTCATGAATTATCAAATATTACATTAGCTGACACGTTTTGCATTGTAGACTCTAGTACTTCAATTCTGAACATCTTTTCAACAAGACTGATCTCCGTTAACTAGATTTCCTGCCTCGGTGATATATATTTCTCTCATGGGGAGAGACATTTTGATAAATAACCTGCCATTAAAATGCAGAGTTAAAGCCTCATTAATGAATTCCTGGTGTAAACAAATGCACCACCAAGTGATCTTTGATCATCACCCACCCTGAATATAGATAAAGTTTTTAAAAATATAATATTGCCTAGTATTCACTAGAGACTTTTTCATTTTCCACAGTAATCTCTAGCTCTGTCATTTATTATCTTTGGGACTGTTGGCGATTCCCTGAACATTTCTAAACCCTCCTTTCCAGACCTGGAAATGGAGACACTATATCTACATAAGAAGTCTTTGTGATGATTATGTAAAATAATGTGTAATCCTCCCAAATGCCATGCCTGGTACATAGCCAGCACCCAGGAAAGAGCACCGTTCCCTCACACCCTTGCCACTAAATACATAGCTCAAAATGAGCAACATCTATACACCTGGGGACTGGTTATAAATGCAGAGCCCCAGGCCCCACTCCTAATTAGGACATACCTAATCAGAGTCTGCATCTGTACATAACCCACAGATGATCTATTAAAATTAAACTACACTTTAAAATTTAATAAATGGGGCTCATGTAATGCTCCAAGATTAAGAACTTAGTCATTTAGTCATCAGACTTTTACTAAGCCCTCCTGCGTGCTGTGTAGGTGCTGGGAATATAGTTGTTAACAAAACAGAACAGTCCTCTCTTCATGAAAGATACAGGGAAAAGAGCTTTCTCCTGGACCCCCATACTGGCCAGCATTCCACATGCTTGGAAACAGAGGTTCCTCAGCACGTTCTTATCCTCAGAGCAACAATAAATGCAATAAAAAAGCAAAAATTCGGTTAACCTGAACACTCTACATCAACATGGCAGTTGGTCACTTTACTGAGAAGCCTCCTAGGTGTCTCTCCGTGTTCGGCACTTGTCATCAGCAGTTCAAGGAGTTTGCTGACGCTTTGTAATTCCCTGACGTTTCTTAATAATGAAGGTCCAGTTTTGGTCCAGGGCCTTCTTCGCCTTCTCCATACGAAGTTAGTCTCCACTAGAGAAGATACAGTGGGAGGGAGAGTGGAGGCAGAGGAAATGGTACTCTGGGATCTGCCTCCAGAAACATCCGATACAGCGTCATGCATTTAATGGCTACGTGCTATCACGTGTGCTTCTGAGAGAGCTGGCGTTTTTATCTAGTTTTCAAGAACTGTGGTAAGGTCTTAACTTACACCCAATGTTAGACTACTGCAAAGGGCATGCCTACCTTGAGATTTTAGCATTTTCCAGAGTAGGCAGAGGGTGCATCCACTCCCAGATCCATCTCTGTGGATAAGCTCCCCCTCCTGGGCAGCTCATCACCCTGGAAATCTGGCCTACCCCATGTAGGCGAATATGTTATTATACAAAGGGTCCAGAATTTACAACCAGATAGACCTGTATTCCTATCTCAACTCAGACATAGAATAGCTGTGTAACCTCGAGCAAATGAAATAACTGTTCAAGTTTAGTTTCCTTTTGTGCACGGTAGCAGTAACTAAACCATGGGCTCTACGTAAGGGTAGAGACAGTGCTTGTCATGTAGTAAGGACTCTGATACCTGTTAGCTGACACCCTCCCATCGCCACCAACGTCACTGTTTGTAAACACCTACTACATTCTTCCAGGGCTTATGATAGATGGATAATAAATGTTTATTCTTTTTCAATGTCTAACCCTCCCCATCACCAACTGAACCTGTGCATCACTTTGAGTTCCTCACAGGAAGCTATGCTAGAAATGCATCTCCTTATCACAGTTTCCTTTAATCAGAAATAAAAACCCTATAGAGTCACTGATTAAATCTGCAGTCTCAACAGTCACATGAAAATCTCTGCTCTCATTTCTATACTGTATTTGAGCTATTGCATCACAAATATCACTTTTCATATGAGATTTACAATTTCATACCCTGTGACAGAGCAAATGACAGTTGAGGGTCCCCGTCCCTTGAGGGTAGACACGAGACCTATCTGCTCTCTACTCTGACAGCCTCAGTCCAGCACCAAGAGATGACTGCTCACCTCAGAGACTTTTTTCTCTTGCTGACTCATCCTCCAACTGGTTATGAGCTAAACAGAGGCAGCAATTCTTTTTCCCTTCAGGAAATGCCAGCTTGAGCAGGTGATGTCCTTTTTCTTCATCTCCACCACACCTCCCATACAGAGGAAGGAGCACGCCACTCGGCTGACAAGGCCATTTTTTCACTGACACTTTAAATATAGCACCAGCTCCCCTCAGCTTCTAAGACAACTCAGGTAGAGTTTTGGTTCTTAGCTCCCCTCCCCTCAAGTGTACGTTTGTCAGAATGGCCAGTGACTTCATAGTGCTGCTGACCAGACTTCAGATTTCCCTTTTTAAATACCTGCTAGTCACCAAGGAGCTACCGAATGTTCTATGAAACTCCTGTGGTTTCCATTGCGTCTCTGAAAAACCGGTCATTAGCAGAGCTTCTTTGACTTTACAAATAAAGGAAATACATTACGTACCAGATCCAAAGAGATCACTCATGATCTTTCAAGAGCTTTAATTCAAGTGTTCCAAAGAACAAACGGCAATTTATTTGCCTATATTTAATTATGGCCCCAGGCAGGAAGGGAACTGACCAATCTACCATAATACCCTGCTTGGACCACCCAGTCTAAATCAGGGAAGAAGTAGAGACCACTGTCTGGTATTGCATTTATTCTAAGAAAGCAAAATTTCTCCCTGAGATAATCAAACTAAAAAGGGTCACTCTGTCTAGCACTGGTCATAATACAGGTAAGAACTTAAACTCTTGCCTGTGAGTTACTGACTCTTCCTGTAAGTGTTATAATTCTTATGTCTACAGATATTCAGTGACTGGTATGCCTCAGAGACACAATAATCATATGAGAAAATATCCTACGTTATGGGATCAAGCCTCCAAGGGGAGTAGAAGGAATCACCATTCCTTCTCACTTTGAAAAATAGTCATTAATTCTGATGACTAAATTATGTCCATCTGTTCCATGAAGTATAATATCTATCACCACCTCTCCCTTTCTCTAAGGGCCATAATTTTTAGTTTGGTAGTTAGTAATGCACATAAAATTCAAATCAAAATGGAAACAGCCTAGACCAACTTTAAGCCTCGTTAAGACTAGCATTGAATCACACTAGAGGAAACACCGGTATAAGAAAGTCTGGTGTTTTTAATATGGAGCTCTTAACAAACATTCCTCTCCAGGAACACGATCTTGGCTTAAACTGTGTTTCATTTATAAGCTCAAATTTGCTTTCCACTGTCGATTTTCCAGATCTCCGGATCACTGTAATTCCTTTGTGAACATTCTCTTGGCCAGGGAAGGCACAAGTTTAGATTCAATTTGTCACTCAACCTTCTCTGCAAATGTGAAGAGTCTAAAAGTATTATGACGAACTTCCTACCCCTTCTGGGTCAGAGGATGTGTGAGTGGTCCAGGTCAGGCCCATGGCTTGCTGTCTATCTCCTTAATACAACCCTTTCTCAGGTCTTGACCGGGCTTGGTTCCCATTGTCTATCAGGCCTGGGAATTCCTTAACATCTGATTGAGATTTTCTTTCATTCTTTCTTTTCTTTCTCTTTTTAACATTTGTATAGCATAAGGTGAAACCAAACTGAAAATAAGGGAGAAGAAGGAGAAAGGATTGAAAAGTTCATTGAGGATTTACGTGAAGCAAAGGAATGCAAATAGAATGGAAGCGAGGTCACCTCTGAGCCACAGAGGAGCTTAGGAGGCTGACTTCTTGCCTGGGCTGGACCTCTCTGCATCAGTGTTGATTTCTGTATTAGAAACCCTGTGGGGCTGCAAAGTAGAGATGAGACAAATAGTACAAAAGAACCAAAAGCGCTGAGGGGGCTCAGTGGGGGTGACATTGACTTTGTATTTGAAGAAACCCTTCCAATGCCTGGTGCTCCATTAAGGGTAATTGGTTGGATGTTCAGATTGGAAATGGCTCAGAGAGAGAATCAGCATAAAGTTAGAAAGTAGAACAGCAGGACCCAAAAAACAAGTAGGAAAGTGACCCATTGTCTCCCGACTAAGGGGGGAGAAAGAAGAGTCTGAACCAAGCATGGGGAACGCATGACAGGTGAGCCAGGATGAGCAGGGCTGGGCTGGGGCAGTATGGCACACCCAGAAAGACAGGAGGGACCCACAGGTGCTTCAAAGTGTCAGACCCAGAGGGGAAGGGGAAGCACCCAGAATTGAACCTGAAGCAGAAAATCCGGTTCCGAGGTCATGCCTAAAAAACAGGACAGCCAGGTAAACTGAAGCTAGAGCCAGGCAAGCTTCCCCAAGGCTCTGTCTTTTACGGGGTACCTAGGGCCAATGGCAGGAAACTGTGAGGTCTGCAAGCTGGTTCAGCAGAAGGAATAAGCCTTCATAAGGGTTAGTGTGGTTTCAGTATCACTGTAATTCTGAGCTTCCTATCAGAAGAGCAGATACATACCATTCCTTCAGAGAGATACACCGTTTACCAGCATGAAGCAATCTCTCCCTTGTGACCACATGTGGAGGACACAGTGGACAATATCCTTGATTTGAGATTCACAAGAAATGCAAAGGCCACTTTCCATTAGCTGCTTCTTCTAGCAACCTCCAATAAAACCCAGGCATAAAGTATAAGAGAGGGGCTCAGTGGTGGCCGTTCTGACAGGGAAAAAGCCGACAGGAATTGGTGATCCAGTATAGGACTCCAGACCACCAGCAGGAATTGTTTCCTGTGCTCTGAGAAGCACAGCAGTATTTGCAGCCCCTCTGGGGACAAGAATTGGGTAGCAAGTGTGGACGGCCTGGCGTGATATTAGGACTAATTACAAAAGCAGCGTAGTATTGATTCAGCTCTGGGAAAGTCCAGCTTCTCTCATCCAGTTAAAGCCCCTAATAGCATTTCCATTCCTTCCCTTGGGGCAAAAGAGAGATAAACAAAGAGGGCAAGAGGGAACATATATCTGCCCTTGAGTTTTTGTGAAGTGAAGAGGAAAGAGCTAGAGGAATCTCAGCTGTGCCGGCTCCCCTCTCTGGACACCAGGGAAATGAGGACATGGGCTACACTGGGAGTGGTAGGTTTCACATTTTTCTCTCTGGAGGCTGTCTAGGGACTTGAAGTTTCCTTGAGGAGTTCTTATTGACTGTATGATATTATAATGTAGAGTTCATTATGCCTTTGCCTTGGAGCAACTGACATTCCTGGTCTCACCCCTGTTGAAGGACAGTTTTATTGCTGCTCATCATTTTGGGGCTCATAACGTCTTCTCTGTAGCCATACTCACTCTAAATGTGATGTCCAGATCATCTCAGGTAATTATATTTCTGACAGACTGTGAGTTTTAATGATGATTGCTTGACATATGCAGGCAGTGTCTGGAAATGGCAGCCAATGAAAGGAGATGTTAACAAAATGCTTAATATTTTCCTCCTACTCCTGAAATTCTGTCCTCCTGGCCACTGAGAAATGAGATGGACTTAAATCGATGTTGAATATTTTCGAGCCCACCCTTCCCCACCACCCTCCTCACTCTACAAACCACATTCATCCAACACTCTCACACATTTGTCTTCCTGAGTTAGAGAAAAACTAATGACACAATGGAAAGATTATTTCTGTTCAGAAAGCCCCCGGCAGAGGCAGACGTGGCTGGGTAAGCATGGGCCCAGGAGGAGCCTCCTTCACAGCCCTTGCTCTTGGGTGTTAACTGTTGCTCAGGAAAGCATGTCTCTAACCCTCTGTGTGTGTATGTGTGTGTGTGTGTGTGCACGCCCCGCAGTCACGGAGGAGTGGCAGAAGAGCGGAGGGCAGCTCTGCCAGCTCATTGAACCCGTGGATGGATTCCACCCTAGTGAGGTAAGTGCAGTCACACGACGGCTGCTGAGGGCAGTCTGTTACGTTATCTTTGTAATATAATTATGCACACATGCATTCGTTTTTATCCTATTTTATTCCAGAAAGAATTTGAGGTGATGTGCACACGTGTGTAAGATAGAAGATAAATAAATATAAATTAAATTGATAAAATATAAATAAAATAATAAAGTGAAAATCAGAGTAAAAAGAAAATAAGGTGGAAATGATACCTGAATTCCTGACTTAATGTCTACAATTCACAACGTGTCCCAGCAAGTCCTAAGAAACAGCCTGCAAGGGCCCACAAAATCAGCTCCACGCTTCCTACGCGGCTGATGCAAAGAAGGGCATAAGTCATAGCCTTAAGAAGATAAAAAATAAATTAAGTACTCAAAAAAAAAAAAAATCAGAAGGACTCCTGGAAGTGAGCCCTGTGAGAAATTTCTTCTATGGATCCTTCTAGAAAAAAAGGAGAACCATACGAGAGGAGAACAGTGTCCCTAGCAATATCCTGCAGTAAGAGCTGTTTCTCATTTAGAATTCCGAGGAACAATCTGGAAAGTAGTTCTACTCTGGCCTCTTCACAGAGCAAGGGGAGCTAGACGGTGGGATTCTGTCCCCTCCCCCTCCCCCGTCCATTGTCCTGGCTGCAGCCAGGGAAGTTCCACTTTTATCTGTTCTACATACTGGACTTGCTCATGATATTTCTTTGTATAAAAAATAGAAAAAGAAGTGGGGGAGTAGCTCTGCTGCTTCTAACATTTTGAAAGCCAGTCCCCTGCAAGAGGGATGGGCCATTTACCCACAGGCAATCCTCTGTGGCTCTCGTCTTTCTGATGCAGCCTTTGTGGCATTGACAAGGGTCCAAATGTGAGAAGCACTTATTGTAGCCTTGATCTCCATGGTCAGCCAGGCCACAGGGAGTGCTGATCATCCCCTAAGAAGCATGAAAGGAATCATAGTCCTCCCTCCCCTTGAGCTCTAGGTGCCATGAGTACCCATGGGCAGAGCTAAGAACTGTCTCAAAAGAAAAGGAAGAGGGACTTCCCTGGTGGTGCAGAGGTTAAGCATCCGCCTGCCAATGCAGGGGACACGGGTTCGAGCCCTGGTCCAGGAAGATCCCACATGTTGCGGAGCAACTAAGCCTGTGAGCCACAACTACTGAGCCCACGTGCCACAACTACTGAAGCCCGAGCGCCTAGAGCCCATGCTCCGCAACAAGAGAAGCCACCGCAATGAAGAGTAGCCCCTGCTCGCCACAACTAGAGAAAGCCCGCATGCAGCAACGAAGACCCAATGCAGCCAAAAATAAAAATTAATTAATTGATTAACTAAAAAGAAAAGGAAGAGTGCCACTCCATGATCAGATGGATGGACAGTAGAGTCTCAGAAATGCTGGGTAAATTTTAAAGTGAGTATTAAATGTGCATCTTACTGTGTTAAGTAACAACAACCCAAACAATCTAAGTAATGCGCCTCAGAATATCTGTTTCCTGTGTATCACTTGGATGGGTTGATCCAAGAGAATTATTGGCTAGAAGCTGGTTAAATATTAGAGTTTGCCCCCCCACCAAAAAAAAAATGATGTCTTCGGTTTTAGAATAGTTAATGTGGAGACCTGCTTTCTGGCAATAATTAGGTAGTAGTTCTTGTCATTCTTTGGACATTACAGAATTTTACCCTTCTGATTCTACAGAGAATGGGGACAAGAGGAGACGGTCAGAGAGGGAGCAATGAGGAACAAACTAAAAATAAGAGGGTCAAAGGCAGCTTTGTTGTATCCCTCGGGACATACTTGTCTGATCTATCAAAAGACAGTTCTGTCCCTGACTCTTAAAACAGTATTAGGGTTCAAGGTCTGTCAAATTGGGGCTCTTCCTTGCACTCAAACAGCTTCGCCGTTAACTGATTGTTGAGAACAGAGTCAAAAGCTGAGGGGCTTCCCTGGTGGCGCAGTGGTTGAGAGTCTGCCTGCCGATGCAGGGGACACGGGTTCGTGCCCCGGTCCGGGAAGATCCCACATGCCGCGGAGCGGCTGGGCCCGTGAGCCATGGCCGCTGAGCCTGCGCGTCCGGAGCCTGTGCTCCGCAACAGGAGAGGCCACAGCAGTGGGAGGCCCGCGTACCGGAAAAAAAAAAAAGCTGAAAATCGGTGTGTCATAATCTTATGTTATTCCTGAGAAATTTGTTCACATGCTGAGAGTGGGTGATAGAGTGGGCAACAGTGGTGGAGCCACATCTAAAGTGGCTGACAATGGATAGATATGCCTAAAGCTTGCCTAGTTATCATGTATGTTGAGCTGAGCAGTCTAGATGGCAAATTCCCATCCTAGAATGTCTATTGAGTGCCTACGCGGTATCAAACACAGTGAGAAGGGTGAACAGGAAACCACCCCTGCCGGTTAAGGAGATTATAGGGTGGAGGGGGAGAATGACAAATAAACAGATAATTAAATGTAAAAAGTAGTCAATGCCTCCACCTGTGCAAGCACAGATGCTGTGGGAGCATTATGGGGGACGGAATGGGAGAGAGGGGTGCAAGAAAAGAGTTTCAGAGGAGGGAACTCAGAACTAAGACCATGAACTAGTCAAGTGAAAGGAAGAGGGGAGGGATTGCAGAAAGTGTTGAGCTGAGGAAAGTGCAAGGGCAAGGACCTGAATATGAAAGGAAGCATGGCGCGTTGGAGGTAATAAAAGTGCTTCGGTGTGGCTGGGACATAGAACATGAGAGTGGAGTGGAGAGAGAAGGAGCAAGAGAGATATTCAGGGACAGGTCACATAAGGTCTGAATAGGGTTCGACCTTTTCAACTGTGGAGAACAGAGAGCCGTTGAAGATTTTTCAGCAAGAGGGAAAAATACCTAGACTTGTTCTCTAAAAGGATACCTGTGGTAGCAGCACGAAGAGTGGTTTGGTCTAGCAGGGGTGTGGACACCCCTGTGCACAAGAGGGTGATGGCCTGAACAGAGGTAGTGAGGAGAAAGAAAGGCCTGTACTGGAGAGATTCGGATAGCTGAATCAACAGAACATGGTCATTTATTGAATGTCAAGGTGAAAGAGAAAGAGATGCTAAGCGTTACACTTCTTCTGTGACCTGGGAAACTGGATAGATGATTTCATTGCCTGCTGAGGTCAAGAACACCTTTAGGGGGATAGGGTGGTTTGAGGACGAGTTTGGTACATGTTGGATTTAAAGAGCCTCTAGGATGTGCAGATGGGGATGTCCCTGCAGCAGATCATATACGAGCTTAGAGCTCAGGAAGGGATCTGAGCTGGAGATACAGACGTGAGCACCATCAGGACGGGGTTGTGACTTGAAGCCTTGAAGAGGGGCCGCTGGATGTCCCTGCGTACTCGCCTCCCGATGGTGTGCCCTACAGCAGAAGCAGTGTGAAGGGATCCTTCTAGACCATGGGGCAGCTATGGGGGTCCGCATCTTTTCCATCTTGAAAGAGTCAGATGGGCAAGGCTGAGTCTCAGGACCTCATCCTTATGGCACAGACATAATACCAACCAGAAGAGTAGGCTCGGACCTTGTTCAAGTGCCCCCTCGCCGATCCTGCACATCTGCAGAAATAGTTGATACTGGCCCCTCACCACCAGGGGGTGAGCAGGCTGTATTTTATTGGCCTGTTTCTTCCTAAAACCTGCTAGAGAAGCAGGGCGGAGTGCGTAACCACTATGGATTCAACTGCTCCAGTTGAATGGGCTATGTTGAACAGCCCATTGAAAAATATGGGCTATGTTGAACAGTTCAAATTTATGATCGATAGATATTAATTTTTGAGCCAGATTATATTCACCATCTAAATTCTTTACTTATATTTTAATGGAAAATAAATAAGCATATAAAAATTCCTGTATATCAATAGACTGACAACCACTTTACTTTTTCATCTCATTTCCAAAATGTAGAACCAGAATTTTAAGAAATATATATAATGCCAGACTTGCTGATTGATTGGATTTGGTGGGTGGGAGCGAGACGACTCACAGGATTCGACAACTGGATGAAGGGAGGTGAAAATAAAAAGTCAAGGAACTCAGAAGAAGGAGCAGATTTGAACATTCTGAATTTGGGGTGCCTGCACAGTATCCAGCCATTAGATCGTATTTATGGGTTCTGATCTCAGGAGACACAGGTTTGGGAATCACCAGCTTCTAGCTGAGAGCAGGAGACACTGGCAGGGATGAGATTGGCCCAAGGGATCAACTTATGAAGAAAAATAAAGATCAAAGAGAATTAAGACTGAGAAGGTATTTTAGTTATCTATTGTTGCATAGTAAATGACTTAAAAACCACACACATTCCTTTTTCTTTTTAACTTTTTATTTTTTATTGGAGTATAGCCGATTAACAATGTTGTGATAGTTTCAGATGCACAGCAAAGGGACTCAGCCATACGTATACATGTATCCTTTCTCCCCCAGACTCCCCTCCCATCCAGGCTGCCACATAACATTGAGCAGAGTTCCCTGTGCTATACAGTAGGTCCTTGTTGGTTATCCTTTTTAAATATAGCAGTGTGTACATGTCAATCCCTAACTCCCTAGCTATCCCTTCCCCCCACCCTTCCCACCACCCCCACCCCGGTAACCATAGCTTTGTTCTCTAAGTCTGTGAGTCTGTTTCTGTTTTGTAAATATGTTCGTTTGTATCATTTCTTTTTAGATTCCACATATAAGCGATATCATACGATATTTCTCTTTCTTGTCTGACTTACTTTGCTCAGTATGGCAATCTCTAGGTCCACCCATGTTGCTGCAAATGGCATTATTTCATTCTTTTTAATGGCTGAGTAGTATTCCATTGTATATGTGCCACATCTTCTTTATCCATTCCTCTGTCGATGGACTTTTAGGCCGCTTCCATGTTTTGGCTACTGTAAACAGTACTGCAGTGAACACCGGGGTGCATGTATCCTTTCAGACCATGTTTCTCTCCAGATATATGCCCAGGAGTGGCATTGCAGGTTCATACGGTAGCTCTATTTTTAGTTTG